CCCGTCTCTGACCGCGGCCAGACGTCTCAAGCAGCCACGGCGCTGCCCGCCGCCCGCCAAGCACCGCCGTCCCGCCCCAGCACGGACTGGCGCCTCCTGCGAGCAGACGGGGGCGCCGGGAGGCCCGGGGGTGCCGGAGGGAGAGCCTGTGCTGAAGGCCGGCCTCCAACCATCGGCGCCGGCTGTGCGGGAGCCGTCCCTCCACCGCTGGGCCCGGGTCCCATCCACCGGGGCCCTCCCACAGGGGCCCGGGCCTCATGGGAGTGACAAAGGGGGCCCGGCCGGCGGGCTCAGGGGCTGAGCGCTGACCTATGAGCCACGAGGTCACGGTCCAATGCCTGGTCAGGGCACATGCCCGGGGTTCGGGCTCCATCCCAGAGTGGGACATGAGAGAGGCAGGTGATCCATGATTCTCTCTCATCCCCGATGTTTCTCTCTCTCTCCCTCTCCCTTCCTCTCTGAAATCAGTAAAAAAAAAAAAAAAATAGAACAAAGTCACTGATCGCACCCACGACGGTCCGGCCTTGGGACGGAACCCGACCGCCAAGCCCTCACCTCTGACCCTCCCACGGAGGCCGAGGCTTCGGTGCGTTAACTGTCGGGGACACGGCTCCCCGTCTGGGGCGGCCGGAAGCCTGCAGGCAGAGAGCGCGGCGAGGGAACGGGCGGGACGCTGGGAGAGGCCGGGGACTCCCCGGCGAGGTCCCTGGCCCCATCGCCTCGCCCAAGGACGCCTGCGACTTCTCATTTCCCTGCTCCACCGGCGCGTCCCGGAGCAGAGATGCCGCACCATGAGGACGAGTTAATTTGCCTCCCAGTGACAGCCCGCGGTGTCAGGACAGCTCTCCGGTTCCACCCCAAGGACACGGCGGTGACTCCCTGCAGTTAATTAATAGGGTGCCTCCAGCTCAGCGAGGGACTGCCTCTAAACGGAGGGGAGCCCTGGCCGGTGTGGCTCAGTGGATAGGGTGTCGGCCTGCAGACCAGAGGGTCCCGGGTTCGATTCTGGTCAAGGGCATGTACCTTGGTTGCAGGCTCCTCCCCGGCCCAGACCATGTTCAAGGTACGTGCAGGAGGCAGCCCGCCGATGTGTTTCTCTCCCATCGATGTTTCTGTCTCTCCCTCTCTCCTCCAACCTCCCTGAAAATCAGTGGAAAATACCCTCGGACGAGTATTAACAAAACAAAACCAACCACCAGAGGGGAGCACAGTCCCAGCGGGGCAGAAAGTCTCCGGTTCCAGGGTCTCATTTCTGCGTCGCCAAGCGCTTCCCTGTGGGATCTGACGCACCCAGTGACCACCGGACCCACCATAACCAGACCCACCATCACCGGGACCCACCATCACCGGGACCTTCCATAACCGACCCACCATAACCGGCCCACCATAACCAGACCCACCATAACCAGACGCACCATGCCGGGGAGCACCCAGGCATCCAGGCCAGAGGCCAGCCCCTAGAGGGCGCCCTGCTCTGGGTGGAATGGGGTCAGGCCGCCCTTCCCAGCTCTGGGAGGCTGACGTAATGGATGTAATTCCATAATTAATTCCGATGCCCGAGTTGCAGATAAGACGGGAGGGCGTGGAGGGTGGGGAGCCGCACCAAGGTCACGTTCAGTAAGCACAGAGGCAGAACCAACCCCTCCCACCCCCACTGCCCTCAGCTGCTGGGACCGCAGCCACTGGTTAACAGCCACACGGTCAGGCACTGCCAGCCCCTCGGTCTCACCTTTGCCCTCGCCCTGACCTGGCCACACTCCCCGGTGTGGACTGGACTGTCCACCCCTCAGGCCTCCCTCCTGCCGCAGCCCTGCCCTCCGACACGCCCCACTGCCCTCTGACACGCCACCCTGGTGCTAACGGGCACGGCCCCGGGAGAGGGAGGACCAGCGGGGTCTGAGGTCTGAGCCCAGGGTCCAGGACTTGGCGATCCGGGCGGCACCCACAGGGACCCGCCCTGACCTGCACAGCCCTGGCGGGGCGCTCCTGGAACCCGGCACCCAGAGATCCCCAGCCCAGGGCCCCAGTGTCCCGTGGCCAACACGGCCGGCGACTTCCCGGTCAGAGCTGCCCTCGGGGGGGAAAGGCACGGACACCCGGCTTTCCTGGAACTTTCCCCCATCCGAGGGGGGAGGGGCTCTGAGCCATTTTGCCACCAGCTCAGCACGTCCGTCTCAGATCAAAGAGGAATCCGGCCGGACACGGCACCGAGGCCGGACACGGTGGATGCGGCCGGGAGGCCAGCCTGTCCTGGAGTCCATGGGCGGAGCAGAGGAGGGCCTGGCCGCCCGCTCCCTGTGTCCTCGGTCCCTCTGTCCCTCTGTCCCTCGTCGCGGCCCTGAGAGCTGTCTGCCCAGCTAGCCCCGGGCGGCACCCTGCTCTGCCAGGCACTGCTGGCACCTGGGTGCTCCGTCCTGGCCTGGTGCCGTGCACCCACCTCCACACGGCGACCTCAATGTGAACCGGGCGCTCAGACGGGGGAGGGCTGCCGTCTGGGGCTGAGCCCGGAGCCTCAGGCTGGTCAGCCTCAGGCCATGCTCGGCCTGCCCGTCACCCAGGGCCTGGCTTCAGGGCCCAGGAAAAAAGCCACAGAGCAGGCCGTCCTCGCCAGGCCTCCATGTCGCCCTCAGGCCTCCATGTCCTTCATCCCACCCCGCAGCGGGAAGACGGCCAAGGCCCGCCATTCCCAAACCTGCAGGCCCAAACCAGCCACTGGGTCAGCCAGGGAGAGGAGAGCCCGGGGGCTGGGCAGAGACGCCCATGTCCCCTCTGCCCACTCGCTCAGCCGGGAGCTTGGCCCCAAGGCTGCAGCTCCGTAGAGACCTCACACACAGCAGTGAATGGGGGCGGGGTCATTCCCCCAGATGCCCGCCCTCTGGACGCCCCAGCTGATGGCTGACCCTCCCCAGCCCCACCGCAGAGAAGCCCGGGGCTGGCTCGGGACTGGGGTGCTCCCTGTCACCCCCTGGCTCCCCCTCGGCAAGTGAGCTGCTAATTGGAGACGTGACTCATAATTAGTCCTTGATTAATTAAAGATGGGAAAACTAATTACCTAATGAACGTCGTTGAACGAATCTGTGAAAACGGGCCGTCCTAAGAGGAGATAGGAGGGTATTTAAGAGGGCCCGTGAGGGTCACAGCCGGGGTGCAGGTTCGGCGGGCTCCCCAAGACCTCAGCCCCCAGCCCCCAGGCTGACACGGGGGAAAATTGCCCCACTCCCCTTTCCCACCTGAGAGCAGGGGCCGGGGTCCGTCTGCTCACCCCTCCCTCTGTCCCCTGCCCCAGGGTACCTCCCCGCGGCCGTGGGATGAACGAATGAATGAATGAATGAATGAGGAAGCGGGTCTCTCTCAGACCGAGTGTCCAGGGGGAAAGCTGTGTCTCGCACTGGGCTTCCAGCTCAGGTGGGGTTGAGCAGTTCGGTTCCCAGCCCAGGTGGACGTGCCGGAGGCAGCCGACCGATGATGTTGCTCTCATCACGGATGTTTCTCGATCTGTCCCTATCCCTCCCTCTCTCTCTGAAATCAATAAAAACATATATTTCTTAAAGTCAACCATGACCCCCTGCCCTCCCCTCGGCAGGCGCGTGTCCACAGCAGTGCCAGTCCCAGCAGCCACAGGGCAGAGGCCGCCCACCGTCTGCCAGCGGGCGACGGATAAACAAAATGTGGTCCACAATGGGGAGGCGTGCGGGAGGCAGCTGATCCATGATTCTCTCTCATCATTGATGTTTCTCTCTCCCTCTCCCTTCCTCTCTGACATCAATAGAATATTAACATATTTTATTGATTTTGTACAGAGAGGAAGGGAGAGAGATAGTTAGAAACATCGATGAGAGTCATTGATCAGCTGCCTCTTACACACCCCCTACTGGGGATATGCCCGCAACCAAGGTACATGCCCTTGACCGGAATCGAACCCGGGACCTTTCAGTCCCCAGACCGACGCTCTGTCCATTGAGCCAAACCAGTTTCGGCAAAATATATTTTTTAAACGTGTGGACCTGGACGGTGGTGCTGGACGAGCAACACCGAATAGATGATGGGAATGACGCTGAGCTGTGCACATTTTCAAGGGTTAAAACGATCATTATTAGGTTCCCTCCGTTTTACCGTAATAAGGGTTTTTCCACAGAAGCCTAAAAGGATCACCCGGGATAAACAGTCCAGGAACCAGCCCCACCTCCCGAACCGGAGGTGCTGGAAGCGGGGGGATAGGGGGCCTGGGAAAGGCTTTCTGACCCGCAGCAGGGCCTCCCCCGGCGTCTCCCCTGCACCCTGAGGTCCGGAGGGGCTCCCCCACCCAGCACCCGCCTGGCACAGAGCCGGAGCCTCAGAAACCCCGGGCTTGGGGGACCCCGGGCGCGGGAAGGACGCCTTGCTGCGATGCACTCGCACCTTCTTGTTCCTTCTCACCTCCCTGTCTCCTTCTGCCTCTTTTCCAACAAACACCAATTCCAGGCTTCCACAGAAACAATGAATCTCTTGGGGCGCGGGGAGAAGCAATTAGCCAATTAAAATTTAATTAACTGTGGGCGCAGGCAAAAGAAAAAAAAGGATGCTCACACCCGGTGGAGCTGGGGAAATTCAAGCTCCTGGCCATCGGAGCGGGACATCAGGGTAAAGGACATGGGAGAAAGAGAGGGGAAAAGGTGGGAGCCCGTGGGGACCCCAGGGGCACCCCTGACGCCATCACAGTCATTCAGCCAGCCCTGCAGCTGACCCGCAGGGAAAGTGAGGCCCGGCGAGGAGCAGCGACCTGCCTGTGGGTGAGGACCAGCCGCGAAGCCGGGCCTGTATGCACCCCGCCTGCCCCTCCCCCCACCCCAGGCTGCTCCCCCCGGTGTGAGGGCTGCGCACCGAAGTCCCTTCTGTTGGCACACATCCGCCTGCACCTGCCGGACGAACGGACGGGACAGGACGGGACAGGGTGTTTACTGGGCCCCTGCCGTCCAGCCGGCCCCGGCCGCCAACCTGGGGCAGACGGAGGGGGCACTCACCTTCCCGAAGTCTCGGACATCGAAGAGGTCGAAGGGGTCAAACAGCTCGCTGTTCCTCAGCCCGAACTTGTCGTGGCAGACCTTGAGGAAGGTGCGGATGTTCTTCAGGCACAGGAACTGCGGGGAGAGGGAGGGTGAGCCTGGGGCCGGCACGGACAGACGGCGGCAGCGCACCTGCTCCCGCTCAGGAGGCGCCCGGGGATGGCCCACCGCCCGGCGTCACAGACTGCCCAGCCCTCCGCCACCCATGACCATGCACCCCCGCCGCCCCCCAGCCCGGCCCTGTCCGAGGGGACCCAGCGCATTTCCACCTGACAGTCTTCACTGGAACTAAGATGGAGTGTATGCACACACGGGCACGCGTGCAGGTGCTCACACACACGCACGCACACGCACACGCACACACGGCACAGGTACACACACCTGCACCTCCCTGGGCACACACTGACCACAGCTGCTCCACAGGTGACAGAGCCGACAGCGGGAGCAGCACAGGCCCCTCCGCAGGGACTGGAGCAAGCACACAGGCCAGAGTCCCCAGATCCAGGCGGTTCCTCCCCTCCCCCCGCCCCCCCCGTACCCCAACACCTGGCCCCGCACCCCAACACCAGGGCACACACACACACCGTGAGGGGCACTCAGGCACAGACCCGGGGGAGGCACTGTGACGAGGGGGGAGACCAGGTGCTGCTCTCAGGAGTGAGAGGCGAGGCGGCCAGGGAACCAGCGGGCGCGGCCCGGGACCCCCTGAACCCCTAGGAGGCCGGCCCTGCCCACTCCCTGACCTTGGCCCGGCGGCCTCCGGAGCGGAGCGGACAAATAATTTCGTGGCCTTAGCACCCGAGTCCGGGGGGCACACCCGCGCCGAGCCTGCACCCGGGAGGGGGGGTGCCAGGCCAGCCTTCTTCCTGCCTGTGCCAGCCCCACCTCCCCCCCCACCCAGACGCGCAGCTGCCAGCGGCTCCGCTATTTCTGCTCACCATCGTCTCTAATTCCCTCTAAGCGTTTATTTTCATTCCTCCTGCCTCCGCTTTTAGCGGTAATTACACAGCACCTCCCACAGCCAGCCGGCACCCGCTTCCCTCGGCCCAGGGCAGGGCGCGGCCTCGGCCGGCCTGGCACACTCCCTCCCTCCTGGCCGCCCAGGCCCTCACCGTCCAGGCCCGCTGTGGTCAGCACCAGCTGCCGGGCACTCACCGTCCAGACCTTCTGTGGTCAGCACCGGCAGCTGGGCCCTCACCGTCCAGACCCTCACCGTCCAGGCCCCTCACCGTCCAGACCCGCTGTGGTCAGTGTCCGGGCCCCTCACTGTCCAGGCCCGCTGTGGTCAGTGTCCAGACCCTCACCGTCCAGACCCGCTGTGGTCAGCACCAGCTGCCGGGCACTCACCGTCCAGACCCTCACCGTCCAGGCCCGCTGTGGTCAGTGTCCAGACCCTCACCGTCCAGGCCCGCTGTGGTCAGCGCCGGCCGCCCGGGCCCTCACTGTCCAGTTCCTCACCATCCAGGCCCGCTGTGGTCAGTGTCCAGACCCTCACCGTCCAGGCCCGCCGTGGTCAGCGCCGGCCGCCCAGGCCCTCACCGTCCAGGCCCGCTGTGGTCAGCGCCGGCCGCCCAGGCCCTCACCGTCCAGGCCCGCCGTGGTCAGCGCCGGCCGCCCAGGCCCTCACCGTCCAGGCCCGCTGTGGTCAGCGCCGGCCGCCCAGACCCTCACCGTCCAGGCCCGCCGTGGTCAGCGCCGGCCGCCCGGGCCAGCCTCCTGGAGGCGCGCAGACCGCCGGGCCTCAGGGGAAGGGACACGGCGCGTCGGGGACGAAGCAGATGCCAGGAGCCGGCGGGGCGCCCACACGGCGGCAGTGGCCTGGGCGGCGGGCGCCGGGCTGCAGGGCTGCCCAGGACACCGAGCTCAGGCAGTGAGGAATGGTGGCTCCCGACGTGGCGGAGCAGAGATTGAACCCATGCGCTTCCAGGCGGTGACGGCCCCTCGTGAGAGAATCTCCGGGGGTCGCTGGGGGCCGGGACCCCCGTCCTGCACACCTGTCCCCATCCCCTTCCATCTCCTAAGGAGCCGGGGTCCTGCACAGTGAGGGAAGCCGAGGCCCAGGGCGGGAGGGGCAGTTAGGGAAACTGAAGCCAGAGGGGTGGGTGCTGGTTCTGGGAGGCCCTGCAGGTGGGGTGAGCGGACGCAGGTGGGGCCGTCATAGCTACAGGTTGAGGGATGGGGCAGGGAGGCCAGACCCCGGCCAGCGCCAGCCCAGAAGCTGCCCGCCCTGTCCTGTGACCGGCCAGGGGCGTGCCTGCGGCTCCGGGCCCGGCACCGTCTCCCCACGAGGCGGCCGCAGCCACAGGAGCGTGTGTCTCCAGAAAACTGGCCCGACAAGCGGCCAGGGCCGAGCCAGACCCGCTGGGCTTGTGGAGGGGCCTCCATGGGGCATGGGCACCCCACCTCCCCCCCAACCCCCACCATAGAGCGGCTTTTTGTCCAACAAACCCCTGCAGGCCCGGTGGGGCGCCAGGAGGCGGGCGTCCAAGCGGACACGTCGGCCTCCCCGGCCCTAATGGCCTCAAATGCGATTAGCTAGCTTGCGGCTCCGGCTGTGGCTCCGGCTCCGGCTCCAGCTCCGGCTCCGGCTCCGGCTCCGCGCCCAGCGCCCCGGGCTGCGGGCACCGCCGGGCTGCTGCTCGCTGTCAGCTGTCAGTTAGCTCTCAGAGGGCCCGGCGGGGAGCCCGCCGCCAGAGCCAGGACCTGAGTCCCAGTGCACCCCGGGGACGGGGGCTGGCCCATTGTGGCCACGTGGTGCCCACCTGCTGACTGGGAACGGGGAAGACACTGCCAGGAACAGCCCCTCGCCAAGGCGCCACGGAGGCCTGTCTCCCAGCCCGGGCAGCGGCAGGCACTGCACGCCAGACTCAGCCCTCTACACGTCATGGAGCCACGTGGACACGCAGGGCGGGGCGAACCCAATGAGAACCCCAGCGGTCGGGTCCAGTCCTCATGGTCTCGTCCACCATGCCAGGCTCCTCCCATGAGAGACCCCCAAAGCCACGGGCAGGGGACGCCTCCCAGGGACCGAGGCCGAGCCAGGAGCCAGGAGCCAGGCTGTGGTGGGGACGAGCTGCTCGGAGGGGGGCTGCAGGCCCTGCCCCAGGGTCCCAGCGAGGCAGTGCCCCCCCACCCGCAGGGCAGTCCTCCAGCCGTGACTGCAGCCATGACCGCCAAAGTGACTCAAAGGCCCCAGCCTCCGAGGCAGACAAGTCCAGCCTTAGCGAGCTTCCTGACCCCTGACCCCGTCTCAGGATGCCTGCCACAGGGACGCAAACAGGGTTCGGTGCACTCTGGCCAATTCCGGGCCACTGGACAGGAGCTCCCCCTCGGCTCCGGGAAGGCGGCGGCTGTCTGGGCGCTGTGGACTCGGCTGACACGGCTCCGCTGGGCTCTGCTGGGCTCGGGCCCCTGGGCATGTGTGCCCACCCACCAGGCTCCTCCCCCCGCCCACCGCGGCCGCCCACCGCGGCCTCCCACCGCGGCCACGGCTCCCGGGGCCATCGGCCGCACCTATGGACAGTTGCCACCATGAAACCGAAGGGGCTTCCCTGCGACCCTGGGAGGGGCTCAAGGAGCCACAGGAGCAGGCTCTGACCGGGGTGAGGGGGTCGAGCCCTCGGACACCAGGGCGGCCCGCTGGCAGCCACGCAGGCCAGGCTGTGCCAAGCTGGTGACGGCTGCAGAGCGGTGCCCCCTGACCTGATGGCGGAGGACTTCCTCATGGAAGCTGGCGGGAGGCGCGCCCAGAACCACCGCCCTGGCAAAGCACCGCCTGGCAGCGGCGCGGGCGCCTGGCAGCGTGGCGGCGGCCGGAGCTCCCTCCTCACCTGGTCCTGCTCAGCCCGTCCGCAGGCGCTGCGGGGGACGTGGGGCTCCGAGAGCAGACGGGGGGGGGGGGGCTGGGGGGGACCCCTGAGCCACAACGTCCGTCGGCAGAACCAGACGGAAACGCCCGGCAGCCTGGAAAGCCCCGCCGCCCCGGCTGGCAGCGCCGGAGCCGGAGGGACGAAGAGACCTCGTGCGATCGGCCTCCAAGGCCGGGTCAGAGCAGAGGTCAGCACAAAGCCCGCAGGAAGCGGCTTCCTGGCGTTCCCCCGCGCAGCCACCTCCCTGAGCCGCTTCCGGACGCCGAGGGCTCCATCCCACCGGCGGCCGGCGCCTCCCGCAGGCGGCTCCGAGGGGTCAGCGGGGCGCTGCCTGGCGCGGTGCCCCTCCCCACACACACACACACACACACTCCCCAGGACCTGCTGCGGACCCAGCACCCAGCACCGGCTCCTCTCTCCTGTGAACCCGCCCGTCGCTTCTGGCACTTCATGCTGCAGGCGCCCCTGAACCGGGGCGGGGGCCCGGGCAGACCCAGGGTTCAGACAGAGCTGCGTGGGATCGAGTCCACACCTCCCGGACACGCTCCCCGGGAGCCGTCCCCGTGACTCCAGCTCCAGGTGAACCCAGGGCTCAAGCCCCCAGCTCGGCCTGCCCAGTGGCTCTGTAAAAAGGTGCCCAACGTGAGCACCCCAAAACCAGGTCACCCCAGGAGTGCCCCTCCATGGCGGTCACCTCCACCTCCCCGCAGGCTGGAGCCAGCACCTGCTGGCAGCCGAGCCGCCCTCGCCCTGTACCGTCTGATCCTGCAAGCGCCTCCGTGTGAGGCTGACCCGACCCATGACACGGGATGGTAAGTCTCACCGCCGAGAGCAGCAGGGACAGGAGGCAGCCTTCTCCCCGGCAGCCAGGACGCTGCAGACGCTGCGAGTGTGGGCTCCGGGCCACAGCATTTCGAGAAGAAAATGCCACGTTCAGTGACCCCCTGGGGAGCAGCTGGGGTCCAGGTCCTGAGGCCCACTCCAGGTGCCCGCACCCCCCCCCCCAGTCTCCCTGCTCAAAGGACGGCCTTTCAATATTAAACCTCAGGCTTTAGGCTTTGGAGTCACTCCCCTCCCGCTCACGTGGACAAAACTGCCCACAGGCTCAGAGGCCAACGTGGCGGCCCCTGCACCCCGTCTGCGTGCACGGCACCCAGGAACCATCCGGAACCCAGGCTCCGCCTTCCTGGCCACGTGGCCACCCAGGACAGAGGGACGCTGGAATACACTCTGCTCAGAGCACAGCTCGGTCACCCTGACAGGTCTCCGCCC